CGAGGTATCTCGCCTGATTCCTATAAACATGTACCTAATGCAGCGAAACAGCAAGAAAGCCAGACGTGTCGCGCTAATATTTAATTTCAAGCTTATTAAATAAAAACACATGTGCCATACTGAAACCATTTAACATTGGCTACCGGGTAACCAGAACCGAATGCCAAATAGTTTACCGGCTAATGCAATTAATGAAAAACTTGCTAATTTTAATACAGGCAAATTACAGGCATATACATCACATGCGCATCTCTGTGTCACAACGACGGTGCCAGTAGCCAAGATAACGAACAGAAAAGCCATTCCTGGGTAACCAGACATGACTCCCATCCATCAAATTAACCACTGCATAGGGGAAAAGCAGCTCATTGTTTGACACCAGGTCGAAAAGCAATACCAACACACTACCACTGAACAAAACTGCAATAACAAACGCAATGGTTGTCCAATCGCGACAAATTTCACCCAACTCTGGGTAAAAACATATAGCCGGAGTTGTTTATAACGCAATCTGGTGTATCATAGAGACAGTTCTACAGTGATGATCACAAACACGAGTGGGGTATCCATTAATATTCATGACCACCATGGTAGCAAGTGTAATGGAAAAGCGTAACACCATAATGAACTCGGGCTAGCGAAGCAAAAACGCAAAGCAACTGTGGTTTCACCAAGTACTGTGGGCAAAACACACTTGACCCAGTCCATAACATGAACTAGATGTACTACAATGACGGTGCCAGTACCCAAAAATGATAGTCTCAACAGAAACGATAGACATCTACCACCATAGACACTGCATAAGGATGGTGCAACATTGTAAAGTACATGGGTCGTTTTAGCAACATAGCAATATGCAATACCGATTCAACCCCGCAATCAGGGGAATCAACCCGACCTGAAAATGCGCTCATGTGATTATGTATAATTATATATATATATATAAATATAGATACACCGGCACCAGTGTCATTCCGTAGCAGCGGCTTGTCACCGGGTACCCAGGGAAAAACAGCTGCCACTTAATGAACCACTGAGTAAAAACAATATAACGCTGCCTGTTTCTACTAAATACCTTATGCCAAAATTTCTCAAATTACTGCTGGTAACCGACAAGTCTGACTCCCTTATAACAATTACAAAAGAGCGACTAAAATGTAATATTAAAGAAATTATTTGCACCTAATAAAATTCCTATTGTGTAACTTGTAGCACGCATACAATCGCGAATCACACAGTAATGTAAGTTTAATGTCAACAAAAACTTAGCGAATGTAAAGGAAATAGACACTGAGGCACGGAAATATAAATTCAACTGTTTTTCAAAAATGAAGAAAAGTCACTACATCAAGTCCATCAAGCGCTGAACACAAACGCAAAGCTATTTACAAGTCCATGATAAATCGCCAAATCCTTGGTCACATCTGGTAAATGTATGCTGTATATGATGTAGTGTAGTTGAAACATGATGGAGCATACTCCCATCTACGTGCAGCATCCGTACCAACAGTGTCCACAACATATCTACAACATAAAACTACGAAGAAACAGTCAATGTGCTCTTTAAAAGGTTAACTGTACTACAAGAATGATGTGAATAAACATTCAAAATATCTTATAAAAGTCCTGGCTATTAGGAACTTAGAAACAATGGGGTGTGGTGGGTGGGTAGAATTCTCGTAAAGGTACTACTATAAGTCTGAATGCGTTGTCGAAAGCAAGTGGGAGAATTGCGCGATTTTCACGTATTTATAGCAATGTAACTGTAAACGACTGTAGCTCGGTTTATGTACGTATGTGTAATGACATACTTAATAGAAACGGGTACCAATATTAATGTAATACACGGACTATTTCTTTCTCGAAAATAAATTGAATTATTTTGAATGAAAATAATTATTATTATTTTACTATACGAAAGAAAAAAGAATACCAAATAAATTCAAATAGCAAATTTATTTTGTACGAGCATACGCTGCAATTCAGCTTGTATCATAGCTTTTATACAAGTCAAATAGATCAATAAAATATATAATGGAGGTAATGGCCGCTCTGAATAACCAGTCGAGGTATCTCGCCTGATTCCTATAAACATGTACCTAATGCAGCGAAACAGCAAGAAAGCCAGACGTGTCGCGCTAATATTTAATTTCAAGCTTATTAAATAAAAACACATGTGCCATACTGAAACCATTTAACATTGGCTACCGGGTAACCAGACCCGAATGCCAAATAGTTTACCGGCTAATGCAAAAGAATGTGACACATCTGACTTCTTCTACAAATAAATTTTCGCCACAATAAATTGATTAATTTTACTTCTCCTAAAATAAATTTTCGCCACAATAAATTGATTAATTTATCCCCCAAATTTATTCATACTATTTTTTTTTTATTAAAGAGGCCGGTAACAACTTCCCAGGTCTATACATGGCGTGATCCTAAATGCTTGACAATAGCATCCTTAATATAATCTAGATAGAATTCCAAACCTACTGTATTGAGATGTACGCCATCATCTCGAAAAAAGGCCGTGGCCGCATCAATATCAGGTATAATGATATCACTTAAGCCTGATGACGTAACAATTTTTCTGGCTAGACGATTAAGGCGTTTTCTTTTCATTTCGATATTTCGATATCCCCTAATAGCACCTGACCAATTTTGACATTGTAAAATATCAACCCAGATTATCACAGTATGAGGAAAGGCTTCCCTTAAATATGTAATTTCTTGTTCAATTAAAAGTCGTAGTTGTACTGTATTGACCGACACAAGGTCGTTACCACCTAAATGAATAAAAATAATAGAAGGTGGAGAAGAAAACAACACCTGCATTTCTATTAGGCGTCTAAAACCACCCCATCTGAGGCCTCTCTCTGCCCACCAGGCAATGGACACATCCTTCAAGCCCAAATTCTCCTTAGCCGCATTCTTTGCATAATTCCCGGCCCAGTATGGGATTGAATCCCCAGAATCCAAACATCGGCTTCGTTCTGCAACATGCGCTCATCAACGGAGTCCTCCAACGTTAACGCTGTAGAAGCTGGTCTCTTTCGGCCTCTCGTTGTTCTAGCATTACTATCCTCTTCCTGAGGAGAAGGCAATGTTACAGCTGTCCTGCGACCACGTGGCATAGCGTTACACAGCAAATTAGAATTCTCGTAAAGGTACTACTGTAAGTCTGAATGCGTTGTCGAAAGCAAGTGGGAGAATTGCGCGATTTTCACGTATTTATAGCAATGTAACTGTAAACGACTGTAGCTCAGTTTATGTACGTATGTGTAATGACATACTTAATAGAAACGGGTACCAATATTAATGTAATACACAGACTATTTCTTTCTCGAAAATAAATTGAATTATTTTGAATGAAAATAATTATTATTAAACGAACAGCAGTTACCTCATAAAGATAAAGTCCGATTACACCGGCATATGTTTACATTTGGGTAATGGATAATGATTTAAGGAACATACATGTAGTTTACTTTGTTTGTTAATAATAATTCCCCAATTGTAAATATTGCCTATTCCATATTTGTCAGATAAAGATTTTTAAAGTAGGTCTCGGCAAAGTTTCACTGTTTTTAATTAATTCAAATTTGTCACTTATAGACAGCTCCCATCAACCGATTTTAACTTATCAATTCCTCGTGCATTTTGGCATTTATATAAAACGGTAACATATATACCTTAAAATAAATCAAACTGTGAAATGAGACATAATAAACAAAACAGACAATCATTGTTCCGTTACCGCTCAGTTAGCGTATTATACACAACCAATTGATAAGTACACAAGGTAATTCACACCTTCGTCGTCCGGTATTGTCAGGGTAATTGTCTATATAATTGACTGTGTAGTCCCCTATCAACCATCCGATATTCGGTTTTTACAGATTCCGGTATTGTCAATGTTTAATACAATAGTTAAAAGAAGGGAAAATTTGGGACTGAATTATTCGTACGGTATTTAGAGAGTTCCGATTTTCTCAGCGTCCGGTTTTCTCAAATTTTACTGTATATACAATGTATCTATAGGATGGTTGAGATATTCAATGAGTCATACAATATATCTCAACATTTACAAATCCCTTATGACATATTGTCATACTATGAATTTCTTATTACATTAAAGCTCTGCCTACTGTATTATTCAAATCTTTGGTAACTGAGCACTTTAAGTGTTAAGATCTGTATTGGATTTTCATATCAACAATCTACCATAGAGACAAACATTATTCAAACAGAACTGACATAATATAAATTGTTCATAGATTTGCTCTCTTTTTCATTGTAAAACCAGAGAATAATAACATTTACATGTATATTTAAAATTTTGAATTGAAACAAATATGCAATCTTTCTTTTATTAATCATGGAAGAAATCATTTAAAGGGTGTACACTTGCATTAATTGTTGCTTTTTTCAACTTACAGGGGCATTTAATACACTAGTTTATGACCTCAGAGATTTAGAAAATGAAATGTCCAAGTTATATTGGCCCTAGCATTATTATCATCTTTGTCTTTAGTTAGAGGTAAACTTCTTTTCAAGTTTGTAAACCAAGATCCTTTAGCCCAAGTTAGACAAAAATTTGCATCATTTTTCTCAAACTTACATTGGTAAAAAAATCTAAAATTTAAACACTTGTTTCACAAGGCCTTGACACAAGTTGTGACAACTGTATTAAGTTTGTTAGTCTGCTGAATTTAATACATTATTGGTCAGATCTCATCTCACATGCATACATTCCTACAAGCATAACTGGATAACTAACTACTAATTACCAATTTCTTGGCAAGTGATCAACTTCTAATCCCACACAATTTCTGAATCAGCAGTGAGAAACTAATTACCATAAGATTCAATGTTCCAAGATTAATGTCATGGAGAAATTTCGCATTGCCTAAGAATCATAATCAGCAACAACAGGATTACATAACCAATGCTCTCTGTATTGAGATAAGCATGTAGTATATCAGCCATATACAAACCTTTTACTCCATCGACCAGCAACATGATATTTTTTAAGACATCCACAGCAGCCTATGGAGATTCTGCGACCACCTGAACATTTGTTGACATCCCCTTCTTTCCATTTCTGACCAAGTCTGTTCACAAATGATAACTCACTTACATCCAGAAACTTCAACTGAAAAAGTGAAATCATTTCTTCTCTTACTTTATATTTGAGCCGCGTCATGACAAAACCAATATAATGGGTTTGCGACTAGCATGGATCCAGACCAGCCTGCGAATCAGCACAGTCTGATCAGGATCCATGCTGTTCACTTACAAACCCTATTACAAGTAGAGAATCTGATAGCGAACAGCATGGATCCTGATCAGACTGCGCGGATGCGCAGGCTGGTCTGGATCCATGCTGGTTGCAAACCCATTATGTTGATTTTGTCATGGCACGGCTCATTTGTATTATTCATTGTTGATTATATAGCAGCTGAATGGTTTACTTTTCTACTGTATTAAAATGTTCTTAGAGTAAGCCTCTGTAAGTTTATTAAAGTAAGACAAAACTTCAACAGAATAGGATTGTTCCCATAACATACTGTACAATTAAATACAAAACCATGATGACAGCTCTCTTCTATATATATGTAACATGGGAGTAAGTGGAAATATACAGTGAGAATTCGTCAAGTCTCTATATAGCAAACTGCTAGCCCTGTTAAAGCTCTACTTTATAAGAACTTGTATTGAAAATGACAAAATTTCAATGAAGCGTTTAACTTCAGTCACAAAAAAATATTTTTAGTAGGAAGGCTATATTTCATTAACTACTATTTTCAACTCTTATCCAATTGTAATATTGTACAATGTGACAATTGGACAACATTTAAGATTTTCATCAGAAGCTTGAAAAGCTGTAACTAGGCTTGATACTGGTTCTATAGTACTGTATTTATGTTTAGTTTATTCCCATTGGTAATATAACTAAGAATACACTGTATGATATAATTTAAGCCGCATCACGACAAAACCAACATAATGCGTTTGCGACCATGCTGTTCGCTTACCAACCCTATTACAAGTAGCAATACTGATAGCGAACAGCATGGATCCTGATCAGACTGCACGGATGCGCAGGCTGGTCTGGATCCATGCTGGTCGCAAACCCATTACGTTGGTCTTGTCATGGCGCGGCTCATTTGTTTGATTTTCAAACTTCTGAAACATTTGCTATGCTATTTACTGCAGTTATAGAATCAAGAGAAAGCAAAACATGTTGTTAAATATTACAATATTATGGCATAGGCCTGTTTATAATGGAACATTGTTTGAATGGGTAATATGAGGTATTTACCACTTCAGTATGGTTCCTATACCATTTAGATTCCAGAATACTCTGTAGATACAGCTCCAGATGTTGCTGAAAGTATAACAAAAAAAAATCTTTATGTATATAATATATTGTTTCAAATATATCTCTGTAAATTTATATAAAATATTCCAGAGTTTACAGCTCAGTTTAAAGTGAACAACTCTCAACTCTGTATGGGATAAAATGCAGGTGACTTGCTTCGAATCTGGAACAAATATCAAAAGATTTTAAAAATCTGAATGTGACAGAAGATGATCTAAAAGCACAAAACACATATCAAATTAAAGACATTTGCTACATATTTATTTATGCATACAGGTCTAATTTTATTTCTTTTCTAATGTATCTTTTACAATTTATTCTAAAATCATGCAAATTTTCAATAAATCCAATGAGACAGTTCTGCCAACATGTATAATTATGTCTATGTAATAACAGCAGCAAACATCCATAAATGTCACACATTCAGTAAACAAAGGATGTCACATCATACATTAACTTGTGGTTATCATCTCTGATTGCCTCCAGGACTTGAGGAAGATAACATGCAAAATAATATAAAGCCTAATTGTGATAAAAAGTACAGTTAAATAGGGCAACTTATTTAATAAAGTGGGCCATTAAACAAGACCACTAACAAGGAATTGAAATCAAATTGGATGTGCTTTAGACCCTGATCATTTTTAAGTTAGCACATCTGTTACCATTATAATTTCAAACAAGAGATAATTGTCAATCTCTTTGATCAAGTGGATAAAAAATATTCAATGTTGACTATAACTAAGAGAATTATTTCAGATATAAGGGGATTGGTTTGATAATAAACTTATTGGAGAGGGGAAAAAGGCCTTATTTCAACCCCAAATCAGTCCTTTAAAGGTACTGGTAATGGACAGTTGAGTTTTTCAATGCAGGGGGAGTCTACTGTACACAACATGACATATCTGATATAATAACCGTTGACAACTGAAGACTCTCTATTGACCAGAAACAACAACACCTTTATAAGCCATATCAATAAAATACCTGCCAATAAAGCTATCTTATAATCAGTGCAGCTTTACAAACAATAAAACTAAGATCAATATATACAGGTATTGTTTTCAGCTGACAATTATTACCCTACATCAGCTGCTTATATCATTAACACTTAGCTAAATAAATATAATTTCATGTTTACAGTCTGCCAAGTTATAACACTGTATAGATATTTTTTGAGTTCCTGTAACATTCCAACAATTACTTTCCTTGTTGTTGCTTTGTTTCATATGAAACAAATATCATTATAATATATTGGTAAAAAAGTCAAACCAAACTCTGACCTGCAAAGCTTTAAAAACTAATAGACCAAACTTACTGACAAGCAAAGCTTTAAAAACTATCTGAAGCCCAGTAGAGTTGTAAAGATAAACTCAAACTTATAATGTGATTAAGTCTCACAAAAATTCAATGAGCTGAGGTCAAGGGTTACATTTTATCTATGTCATCCACCATCAGTCATAATATTTTTGTCTTGTGGTAATTAGCAGAGATATATATGCCATTAAAAATCCAATGTCATCAAAAATACATGCAAGTGACATATTTATAACATAATGTGTACTCATTGTAAACTTTGAGCCATTAAAGTGATGGGTTTGTATCGAGATTTATCATAAACTTCTCTGATGACCAGCAATGAAGACAGGGTCACATTGGTCATTTTGTGAACAAAACTGGCATACAAAATGATACAAACAGTAACTTTATCCATGGAAAAATAAGGTTTTAAGTTACAGCAACACTGTTAAAGTCATGTTTAATGGTGGAGGAATACCTAATCTGTTCCTACTTGTATTATTTTTAAACATCAGGCACCAGACAAAACTTGAAAATAAACACAGAAAATCCATATACAGCCATCTGGGTAAGTTTCTCTAATCAAAAATTCCGTTGCAGGATTTGATGAGATGGAGGAGCAAAAGATTAAAGAAGTCTGCAGCCCTAAGCATTTAGGCATGGATTCTACTACATGTACATTTGTTCATCATACCAACCAATAAATGAACTTGTTCCATTTTTAATTAAATAATATAATGTAATCATTGTTGCCATTAGTAACCAAAAATGACTTTTATAAGTCCTTGCTTTCTATTTTTGGAGAATATAGCAAATACATTATGCTTGATTCCAGAAGTTTAAACTGCTTCTTTCATAAACTTAGGTTTACAATTAATTTTAATTAATTTTGGTTCAAGTAGCAGTGGGTCACAGACTCTAATAATTCTATATTTCTAGTAAAGTATTAATACTAGATCAGGTATTAAATCACGTATCTTAACATAGACTTAACCTTTGTACTTAAAGGAAAATAAAGGAAGAGCAAAACTAAGTGTAATAATTATATCATAATTATTGAATATTTTATATCTACTTCAAATGCAACATAAAATAGGGAAATTTTGGTCAAAGGATGCAACTTTACTGATCTTATTAAATACAAGTGACTTAATAATGTACAGTCATTAACAACAATACTGATTCAGCTTAAAAACAAATCAACAACAGGAAACAATTTGTAAAATTCTGCGAAAAATGCAGTAATGCAAATATCTTAGAAATTAGATCATAGGAAGATTACTTAAATTATTCATCCTTTATATTGCACATAAATATTCAATACATAAATATTATCATAAACATCCTGCTTTACATTTTGAGCTGTCTGTTGTTAATTTAAGAGATTTTGTAATTAAAATACTTAAATTTTATAACTTGTATATTTTCATATAAAAGATATGCAGATAGCTTTATTTGTTCTCTCCTACTCTATAACACCTCATTTTGTTAGTATAAGAAATCCTAAAACAATGAATGAAACGAATACCAAAATAACACCAAACAAATTAACCAAAAATATTATACTCCTGAGTTTATCATACTTGACTCAAATATATATAATACAAATACAAATCATACTGTACTGTACTATACTGTACTGTACTGCATTATTGTTCACATATTTTTCTACAGCACCACAATAAACAGGAATTCTTTGCCAGACAATAAAAAATATCCAAATATTTTTTAAAAATTGTTGAAGTTGTCATAAAGAAAAGAAAATGAGGAAAATGAATAAGTAAGAATAAGTAAGTAGTCACATTGTGTACTTAAGGGACATGTGATACATATTATATCAACATATACAAATATTCAACTCAAAGAACAAAAACGCCAGGCTGCCCCATGTGCCGTCACTGTCAAAGTTCATTTAGTATTTACATAGTGATCAAAAGTATTGAACACAATAGTAAGAAAAGTTCAGTTTCAAATATAATTTACATATGATACTATTCATTCATTTGTTATCTTCATCAAATTCAACATTCAAATTAAAAACAAATATAATTATGAGTAATTGTACAGTTCCATGTGACAATGAATTTAGTCCATTACACTGATAATTGTCTTGACTGTTTTACAACTTTCATTTATTTTTATTTCATCTTAATCATTTATGAATTATATAATTTAGTGTGTAATATTAAAGTAATGTGTACATATTGTAAATACACTTTAAGTTTCATGGACAATCTATTTTTATTGCATTTTTGTGTGTTGTATATGAGCAGCGTCATGACAAAACCAACATAGTGCGTTTGCGACCAGCATGGATCCAGACCAGCCTGAGCATCCGTGCAGTCTGATCAGGATCCATGCTGTTTGCTATCATTTTCTCTACTTGTAAAAGGGTATGTAAGCAAACAGCATGGATCCTGATCAGACTGCGCGGATGCTGGCCGCAAACAAACTATGTTGGTTTTGTCATGAGACGGCTCATATTCATTTGATGTGTAGCAAAATACATGTAGTATTTGTTATAGAATATTTCCCTGAATAAAATGATACAATTAACTGTTTACCTAAAAGATAAACTGCTGACAATGACAAGTTACTAAAATTAAAATAAACTTAAAATGCATATTTTTTTATCAATTTGTAACAAAGTGACCAAGAGCACACAGTTATTTTATTCATCCATCATAAATACAAAGTTAATTGGCATCCCAGGTTGATATATGACTCAATTTCATCATGTCAACAGCTTGTATTTCATATCAACATGTTTTTTTATCTTGTATTATAATTATAGGAATACAGGAAGAAACAATCATGAATATCTGAGCGACAACAGATGTATTTATGTTAATGAGCTGGTTAAACAAAGGTGTGCAAATTAAGTTACAACACAAAATTATACAAGATATCTCTTTAGTTTCATATAATTATAGCAGTTCATACTTATTTTTGTTTCATATTCCTCACTTTGTTACAAAAACTCGGCTTGAATTAAGATATTTTACTGCTCATATACCTTAATAAATTCATATGTTAAAATTATATCCCCTATCAAAAAGGATTAATCCTCACAATCTATGTATCAAGCTAACACTGGATTACAGAACCACAGGAACTTGCATGTCACTAATGGACACAGTCATATACTGAAGCCTGGAACAATGCAGGTATCAAGACTGTGGCCGACAATAAACCTACAAAAACCTTTTATTTCCTTTTAACATGACTGAGAATCAGACAAAATAACTTAATTTGTTTTGTTTTTCTTATTAGAACCATTTCTCTGATGATTTTTATACTGGAATTTCCATGCTTTAGGCAGTCTAAAAGTGGTTAAAAGGAATTTTAATAAATAATGTATATAATCAGAATACATGATTATACTAAACTTAGAACTGGAAAAAAGTAAGGAACCTGGACAAACTGAAACGAAGTGCAGTCTAAGCCTGGTTCTATGTGATGTCATAGGCTTTACACTATCATGAGGGATACTGTAAAATTAGAAATTTTAGAGCGGTATTAAATTTTTGATAACAATTAACTTCACAAATCAAAGATTCTGTGAAAATAAGTGTTCACTTAGTATTACATAAATTTAACAGAACTGAAATAAGAAATTCACTAAATTTTGGCCTCGCAGAAAAATCTGTTTTACAATAAACTGTCACATGATATTATTCATGGGGTAAAGATACTGTAAATGAAAACCTGTCAAATAAGTAATCATTCAATCAAAATGATCTTATGAATATGACAGAAAACATATGGCTGTCTAAAACAGCTGGTGAATGTCTAGTATTAATCAATAATATAATTATGCCTATTTTCATATGTTTCAAATGGTAGATATCTCCTTAAATTAGTTCAGCTTTCTTTTTGTCAATGCAGATTCTAGCAATGCTAATTTTGGCAAATGACCATGGATTTCACTAGTTTCTGAGTGATTTTTACATAAAAATACCCCAAAGAAACACAAGTTGATATAACATTCAGAGTGGTTTGATATACTAGCCAAACTCAAGGGGGTGCCATGACCACAATCCTCTGATAATGGGGGGGGGGGGTCATCTACTGCATAAAGATGAGCAAAGTCCCTACCAAGTTTCACAAACCTAAGCTTATTCATTTTCAAGTTCTTGAGCTGACAATGGCTTAACACAGTGTCCCTATGACCTTAACCTAATGACCTTGAAATCAATGGGGGTCATCTACTTGCCATGACCATCTTTTCTATCAAGCATGAAATGACAAACGTAATACTTATCAAGTAACTTAGGGACACTGATGTGGCTTATGGACAGACAGTTGGACAGACAAGCGGACATACCGTGATATGGCTGAAGTTAACTTAGGGCATATGAAAATGGCAAAAAAAAATCAAAAATATACAACCCAGCACCTGTTATTCACATTTTCTGATCAGGGCAATTTGGCTAACTTATAGTTATTTTCAAACAGGTATACTTCTATCTTAATCAATTGTCACATCAAATTACATTACTGCACTTGAAAAAAACCTTAACACAAGTGCATTGTAACAACCAAAAATTGTTTCACTTCTCATACAATAGTTGTAAATAAACTCCTTAATGTTTCTGTAGTCAAGGATCTTAAATGACTCATCTTGGTGACAACAGTAAACAGCTGATCAATGTCAAATTTTAATTCAAAGTCTTCAGTGTTAGCTGACACATTCTAGTGATATACATTTTACATAAATATAAACTTAATATAAAAACAGGGACAGTTGAAAAATTCATTTTATTAGTCTCCAACTAAAAAAGTACATAAATACACATTTTCTAATGAAAAAGATTTCAGGCTTAATTTATGAATCTGTTTTTTTTTTCCAAATGTCTGGCTTATGGTTGATTCTTAACCAAACTTTTAACCAAGAGACCTGCATAGTGTGTTATATTACATTCTTGTTTCTGTCTTACGATTGGCTACCCGCACTCGGAAAAGAAGTGACTTCTATGCAAAATAAGTACATGTCCAAAGTCTGGTGTAGGGGCAGTTAAACAGGGGAAATGGGAAAAAAGTACATGTACAGCAGAAATGATATGATTGAGGTGTCCCCAACTGACAGACTTTATTATTACGTAAATAATCACAAAATTAAGTTAACAGACTACTTACCCTTCTTTTCTCTAGACCTTCCTCTCTCACCATTATCTCTGGTTTATTAGGAAATCTTGAGATGGATTTTCTTTGTTTTTTCTTGATTTTTCTTTCTTTTCTCTCCTCTCTGATACTTTGCCGTCGTTCCCTATGTCTGTAACACAATTATTATATGGTGATGTCATCAACGCGAACACTTCTATTTCAATTATTGTAAAAACAAAGCTGAACTATTTTATGTCAGGTCCTTTGCTGAAAACAGTCCACTTTCAGGGGACTCATTTTACAATTCTAAAATTAAAAGAAATAGTCTAAAGTATTACTAAAAATTTCATTAGGTTACTGCTATACTTTCTTATTATACTACACCAGTACTGGTAAATTCACATGTGGTTAAAAAATCTTTGAGCTTTCATCAACATTATTTGTTTTTGGGTTTTTACATCACATCGACACAGTATAGGTCATATCGAGACAACTTCCAGCTTTACTGGTGGAGAAAGACCTCAGGTGCCCTTCCGTGCATATTTCAGGCACGAAGAGGCACCTGAGTAGAACCGCAGACGCTCCGTAAGCTAGCTGGATAGCTTCCTCACATGAAAGAATCCAAAGTCTCTGTCAGATTCGAACCCACAGCGGTGAGGGGCAAGTGATTTGAATTCAACGACGTTAACCACACAGCCATGGACGCCCCTTTCATTATCATTAAAGAATTTAAACTAATATTTTGCTTTAATATGCTCTGATGATTCCATGAAAAGGAAGAAAAAGTACCATAAACAATGTTCATCACTTGAAACTAATATTGAATGTTGGCATTTCAGACCAAAATAATGATCAGGTTTCATAACAAAAACAAGTCAGTGATTTTGTCTTGTTAGGAATATTTGCCATATTAAGTAAGTATTATATACAATGTGGTATTATATACAATGACTACTTTTATGTTGTGTTGTCTCCATTACAAGATTACAATCATGGTTACAAATTGTAGGGCAAACATAAAGCTGCATCTTGTTTATAGTACAGTAGAAATTCTCACTGTCAATCTGTGATTAAAGTCAATTATCTCGATGTGTCAAAGTTAAGAAGATTTTGTCCGCTATATATTCTTTATTAAAACCTATACATGAGTCAAATTTTTTTGTGTGTTGATTTATTTAATTTGACAAAAAGTTTTTTTCTGGTCCATAAAAAAATAATTTGAGAACATTTCACCACAAATAAGTTGGGAGACCATTGATTAATTTGACGCTTTCGATTCAAGACATTTTTTTTACATCTTTTCTAGCTGCAAAGATGATTTCTGGTCAACTTGTATGACAGGTGCTAATTACACTGACTTTGTATGCCTTAAAATGTGCAATGATATGCTCTTATTGTTATCATTCTAACTGCCGTAGTTGGATTTAAAAATGAGCCGCGTCCCGACATAACCAACGCATCTGCGCAGTCTGATCAGGATACATACTGTTCGTTATCAGTTTCTGTACTTGTAATAGGGTTTGTAAGCGAACAGCATGGATCCTGATCAGACTCAGGGCTTAAAATTGATTTTCTTTTCTTACTGTATGATGTGATACATGTTTGTGTTTTCCATAATACATGAACACTGCATTTAATTCTTACATTTTCTAAGAAATGTTATTTTGTTTTAACTAAATCATTAAAATTAATGGAAACCATTTAATTCCTCCCTAAAACCCTTAGAACTTATTCAAGCCAATGAACGAAAAAAACTCTGTCCTGATCTTGGATTTTCAACATAATTAATCTTCTTCAATCTTAATGAAGATGTTGACAATACTTCAGTATGACATTATACATCACAACCTCATTAACATTGCACTAAGCACTTTAAACTTTCGAATCAATTTAAAACCTAGTCTTCTGGACCAGCACTTAATTTAACAGGAGACTTTTGTTAACAGAGAAGTTTATTTTACAGAAATTTCCCCCCTGTGTTATGGTATCAAAGAGTCATTTGAGAGTCATTTGATCTCTCTCATTGCATGATGCTGCAAATTGTATTCCTGTCTGACAGAAAATCTCACCATTAATTTCTTTTCTTACATCTTCTGAGATACGTCTCATGTGACACAATATAAGATTTACAGATGCTGCTGTTGCTAGTATATTTAAATAAGAAGCTTCAGCATGTCTCATAAATCAAAATACACAATGATAATATTGTGATCATACAGTGATAACAATATGAACAACACCACAATAATACTGCTTCATCATGTACGTGAAATAGTTATTCTAGATATTGCTACAACAATTTTTTGTTTTTAAACTGTCTACTCCCTAAGTTTGTGTTTCAAACTTGCTTTACTGTCGATTTCCAAAATGTGGATTTTCAGTTTAATGAATTCTGATTGTAATTTGAAATTCAGATTACTAGATAAATCAGCCAACAGTATAGACAGACATCAGTGACAGTTACAATCTCCTTGCTAATAGCACATTAAATGTACTGGCTTGACATTAATTATTGTCAAGTACAGTACAAAACATTACACCTATAAACTTTATAAAAAACGCTTTAAGCCTCAGCAGTAACCTGATTTCTCAGTAAGGAACCTTTAATCTTAAGACTAAATATAACCACAGAAGCATAAGGCCAAAGACCTGACCTAACCAAGAAAGTAAAGTGCTTAGATTAGATCTGGCCACTCCGTAAAGTAAGTTAAAGCCTAATATTGACCTGACCACACAGTAAATCAAAGCATAGAAGGCACTGAATTTGTTTGGGTCTCAGAATGTCAGAAAGGTGAGGGTTCTGAGATTATAAATCAATTTGTTTGTATAGTGTCACCAATGCTGTTTCCAGTGTTATAACTATAGTAAATTGGCTACAAGACTAATTGCAACACTGCACTGATATTCAATTCAATGTTTATTTGGCTTTAAAAAAAAAGAAAGAAAAAAGAGTTGCCTGAACAGGGATTTGAACTCCAGACCTCTTGCATCCAAAGCAAGCATGTAAACCCTACAACCAGGAAAAGTTATAAGTTTAAAAACCCAAAGAGAAACCATATTTTTCCCAAAATTTAGTTTTTAATTAAGCATGTTTATTAAAAGAAAACAAAATATTAAAAATTTTAAACCAATCGGGAACAAATTTTTTTATTAGGGAAAATTTAAGGCGGCCCTTTTCATTTGAAAATTTCTTTTTGATGATCTCCATTTAATTTTTTGGTTTTAAATTTGAAAATTTTGAGGGGGAAAGAAAACCGCTCTGAAAGAGTTTTGGACATTTTCCCGGTTTTGGGAAATAAGAGATCAGGGTCTGAAATTTCGTTTCCATTATTTGTTTGGTCTGACCTCCCAAACAAATAAAAACTAAGCGTTCAGACTGGACCTAACCACTCAGTAAAGAAAGTTAAAACCTTTAATTGGACCAACCACTCAGTAAAGAAGTTCAATGCCTTGACCTGGCCACACAGTAAAAAAATCCAGTCTATTTCTTGACCTGACCACTCAGTAAAAAAGCTCAAAGCCTATGTCCTTACCTGACCTCTCAGTAAAAAAGCACAGTCTATTCCTGGACCTGAGCACTCAGTAAAGAAGCCCAAATCCTATGCCTGAACTGACCACTCAGTAATTAAGCTTAAATAATAATAATGTGTATGACTGAACCTGCAGGAGATTACAAGCTATCATTAAAGACTGGACCTGACCTCTAAGTAAAGAATGTATTGAGAAGACTTACTGTTTAGTCGGCATTGGGAGTGTATATCTGGCCCTAAACAGACGTAATGCTTTGTGCAAACTGTCGAAATGTTTGAACCTTCGTCTAACCATCCACTTATACTCGCCATGGGTGATCTCTATAGTGTACCTGCAGATAAAGAAAAACAAATGAACTGTAATAATTTTAATTCACAGTATTTTACTCTATTATCTTGTCTGCAAATTTAGTACAGAATTGTAATTTAACTATACAGACAGCATGTGATGACCTGATTTTTTTGTTTGTTTGTTTCGGGTTTTAAGTCACATCGACACAGTATAGGTCATATTGCAACAATCCAGCTTTACTGGTGGAGGAAAACCTCAAATGCCCTTCCGTGCATTTTTTCAGGCACGAACGGGCACCTGAGTAGAACCACCGATGTTCCGTACGCTAATGATCTGATTTAAACAACCTACAAATTGCTCTAGCATTTAAGTTTTCTTACAACTTTTATTCTTTCAACTTGTGACATTTTTAGTGTAAAATCAGCTCAGTGGTATATTATTTAAAGCTGCATTTAATGAATTTCATAAAAACAGAAATAGCAACATTTCATAGATATTTTATTGGGTTTCATATTGACTCGAGATCTTATTTTTGTGTCCAGACAACCAAAATGAATTTTATAAACATAAACATTTAGCGTTACCATGGGGTTTTCCGTTTAAAATCGTAATTTAAGAACAAGTTTCGATGAGGTTTACAACAATACTGATTAAAAAAGGTTTATAACACTAAAGATTGCTTGGTTTTTAGGCAGACGGCAAAATATTTTAACAAAATTATTCAATGCATCTTGAAATGCATTTTGAAATACATACAAGCTTCATGATCTCAAAACGTAACTTGTATATGTAAATAAATCAAGCTAGGTACCTTAAGACAAAGATTAACGTATTTGTATAAGCTATAAAAATTGCTGCTAATAAAACAGGACAACTAAACCTGTTACATTGTAGGGCAAAGATGACATAAAACTGTCTAGTTATGTTTACGACTTGTTTTATAACAGTCTTTTCACAAAAGTATACGATTCTAGATTTTAACACTTAAAATATTCTAAGGACATTTTTTCCTGTCATCATCAAAAACAATAAATTTTACAACAAACTACAACTGGATTACACACAGATGCATATTCATATACAAGAGAGCCATGATTGCTGTGTATCGCTCTCCAGAATTAAAAGGAATATTTTGCTCTCTTTTTTTCACATAAAGGGAAACACAATTCCATGCAGAAAAACCTTGTATTATGACTCCTCGGAATCAATTAAGCAATCCTAGAAGTCAGTCCCCAACAAGTCTATTTAAGAATTTCAGCAAGGAAAGGGGTTAAAGACTATGCTGGTGACACTTTTATTTCTTAGTCTAATCATTAAACATCAAAATAATGATATACAGTTTAAACCTTTGTCATCAACATTCTGAAGATGTAATCAAAATGTAAATGAGGCTGACCTCCAACAAGGTAAAGTGCAGTGCATCATTTAATGTCCACTTTAATCAATGTAGCATAAACTGACATACTCTACAACTATAAAAGGTGTCTAGTTTATGACAGGTTTGTATAATATAACTATGTTCATGAATATTTTCAATCTGTCCTCGAATATAAATTTTTTTTTTTTGCAATTTTACAATGACGATATGTATAACTGAGTCTGTTTACCTGAATTTGAACAATTCGACCCTCTAAGCTATGAATTTGAATCTCAGTAGGGACTTTGGATTCTTTCAAGTAAGGAACTTACATGTATAAATATATATGACTTACAGAAAGTCAGAGGTTCTGCTAAGGTGCTTGCTTATGCCTTGAATACAATTCATGAAAGGTTAGATGAGGTTAGTTGCCATGGTATGTCTTAAAACTCAACAAAAATAAGATAAGAATAATCAATATTTAGATTCTTATCAAAAGAACAAGATTTCTTCTTTCATACATTTACATTTTGCTGTTGAGCTTGCCGATAGTACTTATTTTCACTTTATCAATAATAACGTAGTTTAAATTTCAATCATATTGATGTTGCCAAGATTATTATGTGACAGTCTTACAAGTTAGTAATCAAAGTAACACTATGGCTTATTATATTTACCCACTGTCATTATCTTAGGACAATAGGGGATAGTAGTTGCATGGGAAAGGTGTTGGGTACCTTAATGTGGTTGAACTGGAAACAATCAGGAATCTGTTCACAAGAAAAATCCCTGAGAGTTGGGAAGGTCTGGACTTTAATAGCCAAGTGTTAACAGAGTAGGCTTGTTTTGTCAGTGTATGTCACTATAAGATATTTTGGTTGTAATTTCATAATCTGCATTGACTACACCAAACATGTAAACTTTAGTCAAGAATCAACAGCTTGTTAATCTTATCAAAGAGCGCACAAACTTCAGAGTAAAATATAGCATTTCTATACCTTTAACATAAGTCAATAAATCTTATTTTATACAACAATATATGTTACAACATAAAAAATCAGGTATATAACAAGTCAATAACTTATTTATACCTGTTGTTGGCTGATCAATGGGAGCCCACACAATTTCTATATATTATTGTGATATAGTGAGTCATACAATCCAATACTTATACAGTAACAGCTGTTCTAATATATTATATATACAACAAAAAACATACAGTCATATATGACCAATTTAACCCTTTACCCAAGCAGGACCAAGTACAGGAACCATGACCTTTGACTTGCATTTACCCTTACCCTGATAAATATCTAAGATGGACTTGTCCGTGATCTTTCAATGTGGGTAGATTTACCATCCATTATTTTGAGAGAAAATTTTAACTTGAAAAATACTCTGACTGAATAAGTAACAGTTGAAATGATGATTGAACCACAAGGTTGTGTCGGCTGATCTTGGCCTGCACTGGTTTCTATCATAATTCATATGTATATACAGTTCCCAACAGCAAGCTACGAGTTAAAGTCTCATTTCTGCCTATTTCAGAAATTCAGGTATTTACTATAGTCATAAAGGAACCATTGTTTATATTTTTTTTTTTAAACTCAAGATTACTTTTAATTATTTGATCATGCCAAGCACTTTCAATTCTGTCTTAAAAACATGCAGATCCTCTAAAATTAATATAATGAATAATGGACACCACACCTTGTACTTGGGGCTGCTTATTGATTTATTATTAATATTTACTAGAATATAAGTTCAATATTGCATCATATACAATATATGCAGTCCACCACAGTAAACTGCAGAGATGTGAAGTCTTGATTCAAGTTTTTATTGCAGTTAATATAACAATTAAGGGGACAGGGGGGAGCTGTCCTACAATCCAAACATTGAATTATTCAAAATATGGCAGTATCACTTGGAGAAAAACAAAAGATACTGAGATTTGATTGAAAGTAAATTGTCAGTCTATATTGGAAGCAACCTTTAATTCACTTGTTATAAACTTTTGATACCTAGAGAACCTCAACTAATCACAGACAGTAATTGTCTTCTATCTGTCTCAATATATAACCAATGTGAAAAATCACTGGAGATGATAAGCTGTTGTTGATGTATTGTTTTCTCCTTGACTTAAATACTCACCACAGCTTCTATATAGCTCTATATTTTGTCTTACAATATCAAGTTACAAGTAATGATAAAGATGTAATTATACTTATTAATGTTCTTTTTTTGGTTTACAAGTTATTTTGATTTTTACCTGTTCACTGGATGGGCATAATGTCACTTTCATTAATTTTTTTTTATACAACAATTTTTGTTTGTTTCTTTCTTTTAACGCCTTTTCCCAACAGTATTTCAGTCATATAGGCAGGTAGTTTCCTAACCATCATTCCTGGAGAGTTACACCAGTACTAGACTACCTTCCTCCACGCTAAACTACCAATAATGCAACAATAAAAGCTTGCCTACACCACTAGAATTAGGATGTTCCAACAGTCTGTACAGTGTCCAAGTCCAAATTCAAATATACACCAGTGGTTTTTCTCACCTTAGCCACTTGATTTTGGGAAAAATTATAGCTAAAATTGCTTATTTGGAAAGTAAAAAGTAAGTTTAAGTTCAGATTTTTGGAAAACTTCATGATTTTAAAGAAAATTTCAATTGGGAAGAGGCCTTTTATTGGAGTCTGTTATGTAAGAAGGAAAATCACTGTATAAAACAAAGGTTAATTTACCAAGTAGCTCCTTCAAATCCAAATTTTGCTATCATAAAAGCTATTGTGGCTTTTGCAATTTTTAAAATATAAAACCTATTAAATTCTAAATAAACTATGAAGCAGGTGTATAACACATTTGGCATGGTGATACCAACACAGTTGGCATGGTGACACCAACACTGTTGGCATGGTGACACCGACACAGTTGCCATGGTGACACAGTTGGCATGGTGACACCGGCACAGTTGGCATGGTGACACTGACACAGTTGGCATGGTGACACCAACACAGTTGGCATGGTGACAACGACACAGTTGCCATGGTGACACACACAGTTGCCATGGTGACACACAGTTGGCATGGTGACACAGACACAGTTGGCATGGTGACCAGACACAGTTGGCATGGTGACAGTGACACAGTTGGCATGGTGACACCAACACAGTTGGCATGGTGACACACAAATAGTTGGCATGGTGACACAAACACTGTTGGCATGGTGACACACACACAGACTGGCTCTACACTGAAGGCTAGGCAAGTAATATCACCCCTAGCAATGAAACTCAGAAAGGGGTCAAATAAGGCAACATAGAAATGACAGACTTGTTTTATCTCCCTATTATGTTTATATTAAATAAATTATTATTGTTTAAAATAATTATATCCCATTAAAATAATTTATATTACATTTATGTATAAAACAGATTCTATTACAAAATTAATCTATAAAATGAAATGCTTTTTCAAAATTGCTTTATATTCTTATTGAAATTATATGACAGACAATTACACTAATAACAAAATATCCAATCAGGATCAATAACTCTACACTGAAATACAACATTTCTAATGCAACATCAATGTTTTTTATATTTTCCATTTATAAATGCAACATGAATGCTTCTATATTTTCAGTTTTATCAGGTAATCATTATTGTTCAAATAAACA